TCTATAGTTGGACGCGGAGGTGCTCAACTGCAAGCAAATCAATGCAGGATGTTGGACGCGGAGGTGCTCAACTGGCAAAGAGATCCTCTCGCATGAGAGCAGCCTCTTATTTCATTTTTGGACAGTGTAAACCATCCCTGCACGCTAAGCTTCGTTCTCCCCGAGAGCCCTGCAACATAGATTAAGCTAATGCCCAACCAAATCTACCTAAGAGTTTATGCTCATCTAACGCAAGTCGCCTGTAGTTGAGCTGAAGTTAATTGCTCCTCTAATCAATTCGAGTATATGATTGCTTGTATTGGATTAAATGGACAGTAGCTGAGAACAGAAGAAGGACAGAGGAGGCCTCATGGATGCGTCCTCTTCCTCATTCAGGCAAGCCACTGCCTGCTGTTTCGCTCACAGAGCTCTGATGGCCAGCCACCCCATGTGAGAGTGCCCCATGAACGGAGAAGGAAACGTTTGCGTCTCCTGTGCTGCCACAAAGCAGCATTTGCCAGCTATCTCGCCATGTCCTTTGAGGCAGAACACAAGGAAGGAGTGCGTCGAGTCCTCCTTTAATAGGCCCTCCACCACTTGGCCTGTATCGGAAAGAAGAAAGGTCCCAAACATGGGTTGCACTGTTCATTCCAGTCTACGAAATCCCAGGGAAAGTAATGTCTTCTTCTTCCTTCTTGAAGAACTGAGCGACTGAAGCAGCAACCAGATAGATATAGCTTGGCATGTACCCTTTTCCATGGCGAGGCTGGTGGGAAGCCCATGTGAGGGGCTCGGAATCCTGCACAGAGGAACATGTCGAGATGATTGTGGGGGATGAAGAACTGTCAGATTTGAATGCTGCTTGGTCCCTCGGAGGCCACCAAAGCCAGAAACCATTTCGTTTCATGCCAAGGACTTGACTCTGCCCATCTCTCTCTCTCTTTCTCTCTCTCTACAGGGCACACAAGCTTTTGGGATGTTAAAGAAGATGCATTTATGTATATGTCATGTTGCTTTCTTGGTTCCAGATATGATAGCAGATCCTATGATCCTATCATTTAATGGTGATCGTTGTGAAATTAAAGCGGGCTAATTACAGAGAACACTTAGCTACTTTTTACGTTTCAAATTCTGTATTTTAAAATTTTATATTGATATTTTTATAATTATAAAAATAAAATATCTAAGGTTATTTATCTTAATTTCATCTATTTTACCAATAAAAATATAAAAATAAAGAACAAAGATAATTTTAATGTTTTTGGTCGATACTGATGAATGACATCAGTGGTGACAGACGACAACATCACTGGAGGGTCGCCGTAGCTATTGTGGATGAGGGCAACTACATAGACGTCAACAAAAGTATTGAGCGATGTTACTTTACATCTGTGTCGGTGTTAACGTAGTTGTCGATTAACGTCGCTTAACATCTGCTTCGGTGGCCCTTTCGTCACTTGGCAATTGCGTCGATATTGATGTAAATACAGAGTGACATCACTTGTTAATTACATCGACGCCAACATAGATGTAGAGTTATTACTCGATAACTGCATCGATATTAATGCAAATGCAAAGTGATGAAACGATCACTCAACAATTATATCGACATCAATGTAGATGCATAGTAGTCCTCATCTCTCGTCGCTGCTCTCCTCATCCAAAATAGCCACCCGTGCCTCTAGCGATGCCGTTGTCCATTATCACTAATTAGAATATTAAGATTATCATTTTGTTCTTTATTTTTATATTTTTGTTAAAAAAATTGACAATATTAAGATAAATGAACGTAGATATTTTAGTTTTGTACTATACGGATATTAATATAATTTTTTAAATTATAAGGACAAGAATATTAAAAATAGTTAACTATATGATATAATCTATAATTAGCCTAAATTAAAGGTGTAAATAATCATAGTCAACTAAATAGTGCGACAAATGTTGTCTACAATTACCTCCAGAAATAAAATCTACTACCATTAGCAAATGAGCTTCTTTCTTCTTCTTGGCATTGTGGCATGATTTGATACGGACGTTAGAAGCAGGTCGATAGAGATTGTTTAATGTACCGGAAGCAATATCAATAACTTAAACCTGAATGAGCAGTGTTATGAGGATTTTAAGAATGAAAGATGTGAATTTTGTTAGGAATATAAAACAATAAAACATGTAGATATAAGCTTATAAAAAAATTAAGATAATATTTGTAGGGGAGAGAAAATTTTAATGATAAATAAATAATTGACCGAATCAATATAATATAATATAATATTATATTATATAATACAATATAATATAATACAATATAATATAATATAATGTTTACGTGATTCCATATTTTCTTCATGTGTTTCGAAAAGATTTCAAATCAAGAGTGTTAAAATATAAAAAATATAGTTATCTATCTTTTGAGTTAATCAAAACTCAAATCTAACAAAT